GAGTTAAGTCAAAAGGCCCCCATGATTAATGGAATCCCTCAAAAACTCTTGGATCCACACCGTGATTAACGTAGGTCATTTTCATGGAATAGTTTAGTGATATTTCATCTCTTCCCACGATTGTCACGGCCATTTTGTAACAAAGAATTTTTGGGGATTATTTTGTCCAACTTAAACATGTGAACGTGGTTGTTTCCATGCAGATACATTTTACTTCCAAAATCAATATTTCAATAGCTAAGTAAACAACTGAATAAAGAATAACATTCGAACATGTCGTGATTTTTAATGACTTTTTATGGATAAACTCATCGTAAAACATTAAAAATAAGCTTGTAAATTTTACGTTTGTAAGTCGATGCACATTATTTTTCGAACTCGAATTGAAAAACATGAAGCGCGATCAAATCATAAACGTTAATTGCTCCAAGTTATTCGTGGCTAATTTGTCAAGACTTCAAATCTGAATGACTAATGACTTGTAGCTTGGACTAATCAAATCTCAATTCTCGTGGATTTGTCAAAGGGATCTCCAAATTTCAAAATTTGCGCTCTTTCTTTGACCATAATCCCAAACGACGACGACAACAACAACTACCAATACATATAACAATAATGTCTTCATCTAACAACTGCGTACCATGAGGTCGAGGGTCCCAAACAAGATAGCAACATCCCTACTTTTATGCTTTGTGCTCATTTGAAATAAGTACAATCACGAGAGAACCCCCATACTAAAGAGAGTGAGAAAAGAGAAAACGTATACTCAAGAAAAATGGGCAACAGTTTGGGGGGCAAGAGGGTTGCAAAGGTGATGAAAATCAATGGTGAAACCATCAAGTTGAAGACACCAATCTATGCTGGTGAAGTAGTGAAAGATTATCCAGGCTTTGTTTTACTAGAATCCGAAGCTGTAAAGCATTTTGGTATTCGAGCAAAGCCCTTGGAACCCCAACAAGAGCTGAAACCAAAAGGGCTCTATTTTCTAGTGGAATTGCCCAAGTTTCCTGAAGAGAATACCAAAGGCCCGAGGAGGGTTCGTTCAGGGATTCAAATGAGTGCGAAAGATCGACTCGAAAGCCTGATGTTGGCCAGAAGATCAGTCTCGGATCTCTCACACTTGAAACCAGCCAGCATTGTGCTTGATGAACAGAGTCAGGAAAGCTCTCCCAATGGCGCAATGAGGCTAAAAATGAGGCTTCCCAAGGCTCAAGTGCAGAAAATGATGATGGAGAGCAAGGATGAAGCCGAGGCGGCAGCGAAAATCATGGAATTTTGCATGGCAAACACAGCCACTGCTGCCGGCGGAGCTGCATCTAGCAAGGTGCATCATTGGAAGAATGAACATGGAATTGTTAAACAAGGTCTAAAACCGCGTGAGGTATTTTTCTTTTCTTGCTCCCCTTGACATTGATCCAAATTTTATGCCATGTTTAATGGGTTTTCTTAACACTCTTTACGTTAATTTGCCATACAGAAACTGTGCCTGTACATTACAAAATTGAGCTAAGAAAGATTAGTTATTATTTTAGTTGTACGTAATTGTGATAAGTTGTGATAAGTTATTTGAGGTTAGCTATCATTGAAGCCCTTGAATAATGGAGAAGAAACTGATTAAAAATTTGACTGAGGAATTCATTTTCTAATAGCCATTTGAAGTTGGCTAGAGCTTTCTTGAGATCTACCCGATTCCTCAAAACCTCCACCTCCTTTCACATTCTTAAAAATATGCAATCGTTTTCACGGTAACATTAGAAAAGTCAAACGCATTAGTAGTGAAGGTTGAAGTTGTTGAGATGTTGGATGTTGGATGTTTTCTATGCATCAGATTTAATTCCAATGTCAAAATGCATTTTACTACCTTCTTTTTTTTTTTTTTTTGCATTTTTGCTTGGATTAGGCCCTGCATGTAAAGTTACTATTGATATACTCTAGCTAGGAATTAAATTTGTACATTATATCTGCAGAAAGTAAGGAGATGACCAGAATTTCATGTCATTGGAATTGTAAAATACCAAGCCAACACGGACATCCAGATGTGAACCAAGTCTATATATACTAGTAGTATATAGTTGATATTTCAGAATAGGATTATCTCTTAACTCGTTTATTTCATTGACATGGTAAAGGTCAAGAAAATTGATATATAGTTTTAGTGAGTCTAAGAGGTTAAAATATTCTGTATAAGGGAAAGAAGACTAGCAATAGTAAGTTATGAATCCAGGGCATTGTTAGATGTATCAAATACCAACAAACAACTAGGCTAATTAGAACATCATTTTACAGAATAGGAACACAACCGCCATGTAATTTCGGCGCAGACTTTCTTGCTTTTACACTGATCATCGTGCATGACTTCAAACCCCTTTTGCATCTATAAGGTTTTCTGGAAGATTGTGAAATCGCAGCTGCTTCGTCCTTCAATTCTTGAAGAACAAGTAGCAAACTAATCAGTTGACATTTTCCTCATTTGGCTATTTTAATCACCCAACCTCTGAAATCTGCCCAAAAAATAATTTTACATATCTTGAAACCTAAAGAAATGAAAACCTACCCTCCTCCCCCCTCCCCCCCAAACAAAAAAATAAGTGAGTTTATGCATTTGATAACAAGTTTTTATTTGAAAAACAATGGACAAAAGAAGTAGATGGACCCCTGTGCAGTTGGGCTGAATCTATTGGTTATGTTATTTTCTTTCGGTTTTCTGTACTTTTTTCTACTTTGGAAAGGGGCATGGCGGCTTGTCCAATTTGATTCGCCGGGCGGGATTTATTGCTGATTGGGGTGTGTGGGGGTGGGGGGGTTATTGCTGATTCTTCTGCTAATCTTTCTTCAAAAAGGCAAAAGAGAAATTACGTTTCTCCCAAGTTTTATTTTAGGAACTAAAACTTAGCCCTCATCATTTTTTGTTCATGAAAGAATGCAAAAATTAGACATTTAGAAGTTCCAAAACGCCTTTGCAAGAAAAAGAAAATTGGTTTCCTAGGTTCATAAGAAGTAACAACCAAAAGAAGAGAAAAAAAAAAGAAAAAGAAGAAGAAGAAGAAGTTCCCCAAACCCCAAAACAATACAACTATTAAAACAAAGAGGAAAAAAGAGTTGGGGATGAAGTGTTAGAATCAGCATGCAGGTACACCAACCAAACCAAACAGATTGCTTGTCTGGTACCCTGCCAACAAAATTGGGCTGTATAATTTAGCAGCTTCTATTTGATAAGCGAGTATACGATCCATCTGATCTCATACAATATGGGGTTTGAATCCTTCAAGCTTCCATTATTATTACTTCAATAACCAAAACAGTATCAACTTTGGTGCACCTACGGATTCTTTATTCAAAACACCAGTCCTTATCAATCAACCCAACCACAGTCATTATCTTGTTTTTGGGTAGGTGCACTTATTATCTTGTTTATCACAATTTGCTCGGAAATTTTCCACCATTTTTCTAAAGTTCCTCGAATTATGATGCAAATCATCATGTAGAATTTACATCCGTTTTTTTAAGTCATCAATTGGAAAGCCCTACTGAAGCTATTATGTTGTTTGTAATATGCAGAAACGTGTGGGATTCTTGCCATTCACAGAAGGGGAAATCCAATTGGCAGTGTCTTAATTAGCCACCCCAAAAGCAAGCAGATATTGAAGTGCATCCGCAGCCAAATTCTGTCTAAATGTTATCTCCAAATTCCCCAGCAAAGTTCTCAGCAACCAACTACTCAGTCTAGCTAGTTTTGTATATTGTAACTGCTTAGGGGGCTGAGCATACTGGACATTATTTTTGCTTGAGGAGAATAATGAGAGAGGCAGTTTTGCGTTTTGAATTTTTCTTTCAAAACAATCTTCCAAGTTTATCCACCAGTACATAGACTCTTTGTGCTTCAATACTTTCTTCTAATCCAAATATGTCACCGAAGATGTGAGAAACTTTAGGAGAATAAGAGCGCAGAACCATGAATAAAAACTCGTTGGAGGCAGCTCCCAAAAAAAAAAAAAGGGCCATAAGAACAAGCCAGGGAATATGCATTTGAGTGAAGGATATAAGATAGATAACAAGCTGGGAAAGATCGCAAAAAATGCATGGAACAAAATAATATACGAAAGTGTCCTACTTGAGTTGAATTTTTGGCCCCCCACTGGAAAGAAAATGTAAGGCACAACATCATTGATCCAAATTCAAGAGTGGGCACAGGAGAATAACAAATAAAAACGAAATAGGTTTCCTGTGTCCACACAGGCATCTTACCAAGCATTTCACCTAACATTCTAGTGCATGGCCAAAAGGTGTACACAAAAGGATAAGTTTATTACTGACCCCTCTGAACATTTTCTATATACATGTATACATACATACATACAATATCTATATATGTGTGTGTTAAAGAAGTAAAAGTTTGAGATTTAAAAAACGAAGAACGGAAAAAGAGAATTTAAATTTGGAATCTCTAAATCTTTGGTTAAATTTTTCTGCATGGTTGTTTACACGAGTATTCGGTCAAATTTTGTACACAAATTTGGACTATTTAAAGATTAGAAATGGCATCCTGTAATTGAGTGTGAAACAACTTTGAATATTCCCAACTAAAAGCCTAGTCGAAGTTTTCAGGATACGTTTCACACTCTCAGAGCTTACAGATTACCGTCGCTATGAGGCCTCAACTTCCCACAATAAAGCAAGATTTGTGAAAGAAACTGGGAAGAGGATGGGGATATTCTTCACCTTGACGAGAATTACACCCCCTATATATGATAGAATAGCCACTGACAACCATAATCAAGAAGACTGCTCATCTTCGTTGAACAACTATACAACATCCACTTAACATCCGTTGTGTACCATTCTTTTGATTTTTCCTTCACTACGATTACCTGAACCTGCCAGCCAAAAGAGCACACGCCAGAAAAGAAATGGAATTCCTAGACCCCTAAAATTTGTAAGTTGTCATGCAGGTGATGTGCTTCTAAAATCAAAATTAAACCAGCAGAAAAGATGAGACACCCTTGGAGGAGAAAAATTGATTTTATTTGAAGGCCTATGCATGCCGCTTTCTATAAATTTACAAAAGGTAAAAAGCAGCATCAAGAAGAAATTTCTACTGATCCCTGCTTCTGTATGCACATCCTTTTGGGGAGATTTTTCCCCACAAAATTACAAAAGGAAGCAATCACCATCAAGAATCTGTATTTTCTCCATTGCTGTGCAGTTTAATGTCCTTTTGCTTAATGACAGAATTTGCTGTTATTAAGCAAATTTAAACGTTTGATCAGGCTGACCACAGATCAGGTACTGTTAGAAAGTAAGTTGTCATTGCTTTTCTGAATCTTTTCTTGTACTGCTTCGGAGAAATAATTGTCGGAGAAGCATTCCTTGGTCCACCAAGTATGCCTGAGGCCTTTACCCATGTCTCCAAGTGTTTGTCCCAAGTATATTGTCTCATGAAATCGATGATCCCTAAGACCAGTTCTTTGTTCTCATCATCAATCCCAACCAGCAAAGAATAGTCCATCACATCAACAGACTGGTAAGAAGAAGAAATTAACTTGTAATTATTTAAACCAAAAATCAACCTTGATCTTGTTAATTGAAAGCACTACCAGTCCTCAAATAAGTAAATGACTATGAAAATGCTGGCTTCTGTTTCATGCTATATTGTGGTCTTGATGGCCATTGATCTTAAAAAGAACTTAAATTTCATTTCATTGGCAGAGAAGCGCATTTTCTAGAAACAATTAATCTCTAGAACTTTCACCTGTAAATATATGCAGTCTAAATACATGCAGGATAAGCAAGGAAGCTTCGACATTTTTTTGACTTTCAACCAGAATTATTTTAAAAACTGAAAAAATGAAACACAAAGCCGGCTCAATTAGGTAAAAAGTGGAAGCAACTTACCGCTAGAAAAGATGTATCATTCCAAACAGCTCTCTCCAAACTTCTTTTTGCTTTGCTTCCAAGAAATATTGGTTTTGTACGCAGTGTTTCCAAAAGATTCATGTCTAACAACACTTTGTTTGCCCCTGTTGTATCAGCATTATAGCGAGACCGTTTAGAGCCCTTGAGATCATAGACTCGAGATATTTTTCTTCCAAAGAAAAGGTTCTCCATGATCATCAAATCCATTTTTGTCTCCTTGCCTCCTTTTAAGTGTTTGACACCAACCTACAATTCATGAAGAAGATTAAATGTAAGCTACTTTGTTTTGCATTTCTTTTTCATTACTCTTCTCTCCATGGGTATGGTGGAGGAGGGAGTGTAGTAGTAAACCTTTAGGATTTAGTGTAATAAACCCTTCAACCTAATGAGGTCGCAGAAGATAAGAGGGACAATGCATCACAACCAAGAAATGTGGCCTAACCTGGTACATCCCGAGGACTTTAGCAAGACAAGTTGGACTCCCTGAATCTTTCAGATATTTAAAATAATCTGGAGCAAATTCCTCAAAAGATTCGAGCTCTGTCTTTGTAATTTGTTTTATGATAAATCGCTCATCCAAAGACTTGGCAAAGTAAACATTACTTTTTCCACCTTGGGCACTCCATCTCCGACAGCGACTTAATGAACGTATGAAATCCACTTCACTTGGACAGCATTTCTTCCTAAGGGCATCAAACTGCTTTGCAAAGTAACAAGCGACTGAAAACTTTACCTCCCCCCAAACATTTGAAGACTTGTTCTCAAAAGAAATTCTTAAATGAGGGGAAGTCTTGTTATCAGTAAATATAGAACCAACTGCAGTAGAAGCATCTTCAGAGCCATAGCTCCCATAGTGGATATAATCGAAGTCCAGAGAACCAAAAGACTGCCAACCTGATATGTTAGAAGTTGTTGAATGATCGTTATTCAAGTCACCAGCATTCAAGCTTCCTCCAGGTTCAAGTGGCTTACCACTAACCCATTCTTCATGCTCCTTGGAACTCAGAGCATAAGATATTATACTTGTTGGTTCATCATCATAAACAGCAATAACCAGATCATTTTGGCTATTTTGAGGGATCATCATCCTTGCTCCATCAGATAAAAGAGATGTAGAAGAGGTAAAAGTGGGTGAGGCATTCTGTAAAAGGTCACACTTCTGGGCATCACATGGTAACATCTGAGAATACATCCTCTGAACATTGGCGACGGGATCCCTAATCATACTTCTGTAGTCTCCAGAAGCATGGAAAGATTTAAGCATCAACAGATGCGATGAAGATGGTGAAAGTCCTTTACTTATCCTTTCTTGAAGTCTCACAGCAGAATCGAAAGAATAAACTCTAGCTGGTGACATAACTCGTTTAAGAGGAGGGATTTCACCTTGATTTATTTGCTTAAATGGAACATCTTCTGCTCCATCAGGCTGACACATATTATGCAACTGAGCTTTCCCAGAAACCTGACCAGAACCAGTCCATGCAGAATCTATTGTCTCAGAAAGAGCAGTTGCAGCCGTAGACGCACGTTCCAGGGCTGGAGTATTTACTGCATTCTTGCTATCTTTAAGCATTTCCTCCTCTCTCCTAGGTTCATATGAAGCTGAGTCCTCAGATATAGAAAGTCTATGCAGCAACATGTTAGTCTCCTCTTGCTCAGACTTCACGGATTCCATTGGACATTCCTGAAACTTGGAAACTTCAGGCACAACTTCTTCCCAATGCTCAGAACTGCTACGCTTCACAAATGTTTCACTTTTTTGTGGAGCCCTGGAACTAGAACTCCTCGTAAGAAGACAGTTCAATGAAAAAAGCCTACGATCCCATACATGTGAACCAATAAGGAGGGAATGTCTCAAGCGATTAATTTCGAGGATATCTAATGATGCCTCTGCCAGTTCAAGTGTCTCTTTCTCTGCTATTCTAAGCATACTCTGTCAAACAAACGAGAATAAACTGAGAAAGGAAGCTCAAAAAGCACTTCAACATGTTTAATCTCCAAAAACTCGTGCAAGAATTTAGAATCAAAGACGCCATGTGAAATACTGGCACTCACATTGTAGGAATTGTTTTCTTTAATGAGCAGGTCTTTCAACTCAATCACATGGTTGTGCAACTCGCTTACACCAGAGAACTCATGACCAAAAGATAAAAGTTTCTCTTCAATGTTATGAAGAACACCAGACATCTCCGCATACAAGGCTTCTGATTTCCTCAAAAGCTGTCAGGAAAAGGAAGCAATTTCCAAAATAATCAAATTTACGACTGCAGAATCGTAGGGGGGAAATGGAAACTACATTTAGAGGCAATGCAATGAAATAACAGTAAGAGTCTTCCAATTAGATTTGATATAGCACCTCAGAAGCTTCTCGTCTTATCCAGTCCTGTCCTGAAGCATTAAAGTCAAGAATTGAAGGGGGCAAATGCACAGATAGAATTTCAATAGGTGAGTACCGGAAGAATGCAACCACACTCCCATAGCTGTTACAAAAAAACAATAATAAAGCCCAAAAAACCATGTTAGTTACCCCTTCCAAAATACAAAATAATTGCTTAAATTTTTGTTCTTTACGTGAGACATCAAAGAAATCAGAAAACAGTCTTAATTACATATCACGCACCCATAGTACCGCAGGCAGTCCCTTTGGAGAGAATGACCACAGTTTGCAACACGATTAGCAGTTGCATGATTTGAAAAACTGAGTTCCAAGAATTTCCCAAATGATAGACCCCAAGCGGCATCAGACATCACTACCCTGTGAGTTGCTGGTGGGATACCTTCTACAGGTGCACATCTGAGACATCGATGCCACATCCATATCTTCCTGTCAACTTCCCCAGGTAGCTTCACTGAGGGCAGTCTCTTAACATTTATAGTAAGATTCCCCTGCTGGTGACTATAACATATGATATGAGCCTCTGTTGGCTCCTTGCATGATTGACAACAGGTTGTCTGACAAGACAAATAACAAATTGCAACTCATATTTAGTGTCAATTAGTAAAACCAAAACAAGAACAGTAAACTGGTACCCAAGGATAGACCACCTGATCAAACAGATCATCTTGAAGATATCTCCCAAGTGGCTTATCAGAAGCACCATAGAACTTTATCCGAAGGAGTCGAGAACGTTCACATACAGTTTCATTTAATACACAGCGGCTCGAAAAAGAAACCAATATGCTCTGGTTGGTATCAGCAGCCGAATAGAACTCAATTGACTCTTCAGTTTCATCAGCTCTTTGGAGCTTTGCAACTTCAGAAACTTCAACTGCCTGGTTCTCCTCTTGAACTGAATTTGCATCTTCTTGGATATGATTTTGGGTGTCACCAGGAAATAAAGAATGTGTATGGCCAAGCCCTGTGTCAGAGGTTGAGTATACAGTGTGTGCATCAAGAGGAACATTTCTATATCTACATTCCTCTCTTGCAGAAGTAGCATCATAATCAGAATTACAATGCGCAGAAAATGATTGCTGCAAGTCAGGCTCCAAATGAAGACCATCAGATTCCAAAGCAATGTGTGGTGCACTAGCAACCTCGTGGTAATGGCTAGAAACTACAGAATTAGTGACGGTGGCAATAACATTTTCAGTACATATCCTCTCTTGTCCAGCAACAGAGGGTTTAACTCCCATTTTAGGCAAACTAGCACCCTCATCAGCTAGAAAGGAGGTTTCCAAAGACAAATGATAGGCTGCAAAAACAGCATAACGTACAACTTGTTTCAACTTCTTTAACTCTTCACGAGATGATCCCTTCAGCAGGACCTACAGGAAAGGAAAGGGAACAGGTTGTTTTTTTTAAAACTTCCCACCTTAAGCAAGTTCCAAGTGATCACAGATCAGCAAAGAAATTTGATGAATGTATTATCACATATTTATAATGTCACAATGACATAAATGCATGAGTTATCTCAAAAGATTCTTCAAACTTCTAGAACCTTAAAGCCGACTGCTGATATAGAAGCTATGCAGACTAAAAAAGGAAAAAATCTGCATGGCAACAAAAAGATCTACGATGTTATTTGCCATGTGAATCAACAGAAGGTATTGGTGGTAAGTAAAGTAAAACTGGCCAGTTAATAAAATTCATTCAAGATTGTTTTAGTTCTTAACTACTAAACCATAATGGAACATTCCAGAAACATTGTGGAAATTGGGAAAAAAAACAATAAGAACAGCCATGCACTTTGTGTCTCTAGTTCTAGAGAAGCACCATGAAATAGACAAAATTTAATTTTAGAAATCGAAACAGGTGGAGCAAGATGAGCTCATAAACCACAGAACGGCAACCAATATTGCCAAACCAAGTAATCGTACATTCTTTTTTATACCAGGGTTATCAGAACAGCAGAAGACTTCATAAGATTAGGATAGCCACATTGCAATTAACAGACTAGTATGCAAGAAAAAAATTTAAGAGAATTGAGCTGTGGAACCAACCGTGCACCCTAAACGCCATGGACAACCCCCAAAAAACATCAAAGTCTTGGATGGCTTCTTGTTAAAGTGATTGAGAGGCTCATGCTCTTCAGTGACCTTCTCTAAATGAAAGAGTTCACAGTGTCCTAATCGTGCTGTGGATATCTTATCAACAGCTGGAGTAATAACAGCACCAGTGCACCTAGCTATCCGTTCCAAAAGTGGCCTTTTGACATTTAAAACTAGAGAGATATCCTTTGCCAGTAGGTATTCTTGGGCGTACGAAGATACACTTTTTTCAACAAGTAGCACATTTGTTCGAAGAGCCTGTATCTTTGAAACTACCATCTTCAGATGATCCATTTCCTGCCAAAAATGAGGAGTGAACAAACTGACCTTCAAGCATCCAAAGTCATCAAAACTAAACCAAATGAAAAGTGACCTGTTGGCGTAAGATATCAAACGATTCAAGCTGGTTAGTAACTCCTTGGAACTCCAGTGCTCCTCCCAGTAGGAGTAATCTTGGGTTCTTGTATTGTGAATTCATGCGCTTGTGTTTAATATTCTTTGTACAAACCACTCCTTTGATAAACGTACTGCATGAAACATGAGACAACAAACGAATAAAAAAGCAGCTTATCTTCAAAAATGAGGTGCTCATAGAAGTTGAAATAATGCAGAACCTGGAAAAATAACCTTTAGGCATCTGGAAAGAAGGAAGATTTTACCTTTCGCTAGGACTACCAGATGCTACACATTTGACCTTTACATAATCAACAGGATCCATACTGCCTCCCCTACTGGTATCTGGCTTCACAAATTTTGCTACTTGCCAAGCTAGTGCTGTAACTTTGTCAAGCCAATCTTCAGAACCATTTTCTTTTCCCACCTTTATACCTTCTCCTTGGAGTAGCTGCGACACAAGAGCCCTAAAATGCCCTTGTACCACAGCTCTCAGAGGTTCCTTAGGATCCACATCTCTGCTGGAGCAAAAGGTCCCGTTGGTGTCCCCAAGGTCATCATCATCGTCATCATCATCATAGGTGAAGAAATTATTTTCGGTCTCGTCATTTTCTTCGTCTGGTGGAGGGGGAAACCAAATAAGACCATCGTTTTCAAAATCCAATGGCTTCTGTGACTTACCATACTGTTCTTGGAACATTGACAAATTATCAACACAATCATCAGCAGTCTCTGAATCCTCTGTCCCTTTCTCAGGCCCTCCTAAAACAGCCATGCTTTCTTGGTAAAAGGGACAATAATCACTTCGAGACCTGCGAGTTCCTAGCTGCTGTTTCTGTACAAAATGCCCAACTCTATTGGAGGTAATATGAATCCTAGAGGGGCTATCAGAAGGACTTGATCCAACTGATTTGAAACTGTGAAAGCCATGTCTAGTGCTAATATTACTAGTCTCTATATCTGAAGTGTCATGGCAATATTCACTTGATGGACTGAAAAAGTTACTCATGAAATCCTCTCCTTCATCTTCATCGCTTCTGCAATCATTAAAGCAATAATAATAATTGACTTAGCGATGAATCTCAATCCAAGCACTGTAATCGTGTATACAAGAGCTGGATCACAAAACTTATTCGCTTTATCGAGAGAGTAAAACTCATGTCATACGATTTTCAAAAATACGCATGATGTGAGACAGAGAATCTTGCACTAGAAGCTAAAATCTAGACTTCACTGAAAATTAGTGAAGATGGACAATAATTAAAACATATGTATAAAAATTGACAAAACCGACGCATTATGAAGAACAAGACTGAAATGGCTTAGAACCTCTAAAACTGTACTTACTATATTCACAAATTACATAAAATAGTTCAGATTGCTAAAGTACGTAATAGTATGCAAAGAACCCAACATTTTGTATCATGAACTTATATTTTCATACCTGCTAAAAGAGCGATGGACTGATACTGGAGACAAATGACCTGAAAATGATGCAACACTACTTTTGGATGTGGCATGTAGGGAATAACCATCAACTCTATCACCATCACAACTTGGAGATGGCGGTTCTGGACTTTGTCTGGGAGACTCAGCCGGATAAATCTTGTCACTGTACTTTCTTCCAGCTTTTGGCTGCGTACTAAGGTTGGAGCAATATTTGCAAGACTTGAGAGGGACCAGAGACCCCGCTCTACTTTTTGAATGTCCTGATAAAACATCATCCAGAGGGCCATAGTCCTGGACGCATCTCCCACACAAAAACCGAGCACAGGTTTGGCACTGGTACTTGAGAGAAGACTCAGTAAAATCCACCTCACACTCATAACAGAACTTGCAACCATTGCTAGCCATTTGAATTCTACCAGACAAGGACGCTGTATCGCTCGCTCTCAAGGAAATCCAAGACCGAACCTTCTCTATCAAATCTAGTAGTGAACTATCGGGTATTCCCATAGACCAGCAATGACCCCACGAAAGCAAATATCCTACCACTGTCTTCCCCTTCTCCCTAATGTAAGCCTCTCAAATGAACAAATGTTATCGGATTGTTGCTATCGAAAAAGAGAAACTGTATCCGATTAAAAAATTAAAACCACAACACCCACAATTAAAAAGATGGGGCTCTATTTTCTGTGTGCAAGTTAGGAAACTAAACAGTATTTTTTTATCTTTTCTGGGAAATGAGCAGAATTGATATAGTGGAACAACAAAAAGGAATTAAAGTTTCCCCTGGAATCACAAAATACTTCAAAGGGGGAAAACAGATGGCTACCACTAGTTCCACCCACAATCTCAGTATATTTACAACCAACTGTATTAGTGCTTGAATGACACAACCTTATATATGATCAAAACAACTAGAGTGGACATATTATCATCAGAATCATCACGCAAAGAACCTTAAGCCCCAAAATTAAGCTCAACCAATCCCAGAATCATCAACTTTTGATTCCAAGATCAAGTCTTGCATCAGCAACAACTCAAGATCCAGAGCTCAGCACAGGAAGCCCCCAGATCAGATTTTACTGTTACTTTTCTCAATCCAACAGTTCAACCCTTCGAAAAAAGAGGACCCCACTTCAGAAACACCAATAAAAAGGCTAGAAAAGCTGTTCAAATCAACAATAGAAGTGCAATACAAGTAAATCCCAGATCAGTAAAATCCGAAAAAGGTGTGGGATTGTCTCAAATTATGCAAAACTAGCTGAACAAAGCAAGAAAAATCCAATCATGATATGATAGCACTGTGGTTAAAAGGAAGCGAAGCATCTAAAGAATGATAAGGCTGAGAATGAAAAGGAGGAAAAGGAAGAGTGCTGAGATGTATCCCTTTTTAGTAGTGGAAGAGAAGGCTGAGGAAGAGGAGAAATTAGAAGAATTAGCTTTGGTTATGGTGGCTCGCATCTCCAGAAGCAAATTCCTGAAACCCAAACCCATAGTATTCTTTTGTTGTTGTTGCCGCCTCAGCTGCTTGTTGAACAAGAACAATTGTGGGAGTACTTGAACTAGCATTTTCTTTCCCAACTTTCCCGGCAATGCTTTCACTTTCACTCCTCAACAACATTAAAATATTGCTGCAAATATAAAAAACTACTACATCTACATAGTAAGATAATACATGTATCTATCTCCTTCTCGGCTCTACCTAATGCAATACATATACATGTACTCTCTCTCTCTCTCTCTCTGCCTTCTTTTTCACTGTCCACTTTACCTTTATGCCAAGAAAATGAGGCGCAATACTTAAATAGACGCGTCTCAACCATCACACTTTAGATTGTATTATTCCAATTCTATATCTTGTCTTAATAAGTTATATTCTTCAAAAAGAACGGTCAAGATTCATTAGTTATATTGAATTTGTTTTTTGCTTTTCTTTTTCTAAGTAAGACCCTTTAGGCAATTCCTTAACGGTTTGAAAAATAAATTTGATATTTTATTGTAGCATATTTTATCGTGTACCAACTTCTAAAAAAATATCAATTTTACATAAAAATACAGTTGGTGCCCAGATAAGTTGGCTTAATTAGTAAGAGCGGATCATCCATTTTTTCTGATTAAGAAGTAAGAATCATATCCTAATCCATAATGGCGATTAAAGTTGAATCAATCTAAACTTTTATCATTCAGAAAAACATTGGTTAAGCGGTTGGTGAATATTTCTTTGGGATTTTTATTTTAATGGATTTGAAGTAGGAAATCTAGAAGCTTTTGTACAAACAAGTTTAGTAATAGTGGGCAGCATGAGGGATTGCGTAATTTTAGTGTGGAATTAATTAATGAAGGAATAAAATAGTACTAGTGTGTGTGTGTGTATATATATATATATATTACAGTTATTACTTTATTTTAGTGGGCGGGGGTTGAAGGTTCTGAAATGTGAGCTGCTATTGGTCAGAATCAGCGTCACGGAATTAAATCAGTTTGGCCGCTCATGGTCGCCTCAGCAGCAATATTTTACTCTCTGGATTTTGGAAGATTTTTGAGTTAATCAAGGCTTGAATTGAAAATGTTGACCACTCTCACATTAGCGCGTGAACAGTTGACGGGGCAACTCGAACTCTTTTGCTTAACTTTAATTTTTAAATTTTTCTTTTTACATTTTTTATGTGCGCTTTGCTTCTTGTACAGGTAAAGCACTACTAAAGTCCAAAGTCAATCCAGTAAAAAAAAAAATTCAAATTCTTAATAGGATTTTTTTAATGATATTATATTTGCACGCATAAATTATACTTAATTTATCATGTAAATATACACAATCACAATTATTGTACTTCTGTATTTAAATACCTTTTTTTTTTTAAAAACAACCTAATATTTAAGACTCCTCTCAACGAGAGTGTCTCATTAGCCAAACCGTACTTAAAATTCACCGATTGGCTTAGCTTTTGAATTTGTGGTATTAAAATCTCCACTAAATCCGATGACATAATAAGAAAATTTCTCTATTCCTATATGTTTTTTGAGAGGGGGTATATGTATTTGTGACATTCTTGATGGGGTTGGAGGTCATAAATCAAATGACCTCATTCTTAGAAATTGGAATGGGGTTAAAAAACATCTGCATCCTTACCTAAAAAAGTTAATTTAGAACTAATAGCTAGCTTGTCCGTAAGTACTGTGTATTTGCTTATGTGAATGTGTGTTGTGCGACGCATGCATACAATAATTTATGATAAGACACACTTTCAATCACATCTATTCAGCTTATGGAGAATTTATGAACCTTTCTGCTCCAAAATTAAGAACGATTTGGCGTTTAGTAATTGGATTTTTAGGTAAAAACAAATTAGATAACTGAGTCTCGAACGAGGGTTGTTCTTTAAATGTTTCATATCAGTTTTAATTAAAAGTTTACAACCCCTAAGAAGTTATGTCAATCACAAGAATAAAGTTGCAAATATTCTATTCTTGAAAAAAAAAAAGAAAAGTTGGATGGCCAATTAGATGTAATCTCTAACAAATTTAACGTGCAGTTTGAATGGAGTATAATCGTTTGTATACGAGTAGGCAAGGCTAACCCTTGTTTGGATGACAAATTATCTCAAACAATATTTCGCTTGCATCATAAACACATTTTCTAACCTATCTTCTTATATTTTCAATTGGGTTATTTAGCTCTTGATTGAAAAGTACAAAATTTGTTCCCATCGGTTATTTCCTACTTGCAGAAATACCTATTTACTTTCTTTTAGAGTTGGATTTGGAGAGGAGAAATCTCATATATTATTAACGCCAAAGACCATGAGTTACCAAGCAAATCCATTCACTTAGTTGATTGTTCCTCTTCATCAGGTTTAGATGATAGGAACAAATTATTGATGATTTTATAAAGATATAGAAATATGGTTCTGAATATTTTGAAGACTTAAATGGAAGACAGCCGATTCTTTGTTTACTACGATGTTTAAATAATCTATCTCAATTGTGCTAAGAATTTAACAAAGGGTAGACAAACTTGTGGTTATGAACTTTATACAACCACCAAATTTTCTATACTTGGATATGATAATCAACAAAGAATTCATCAAGGGAAAGAACAAAATTTATCATAGTATATAATAAGCCATTTGATTATTGCAACATGCATTTGAACGTACATATATATGATGCCAATAGTGTTTGATTCTTGATGGTGTTTATTTTATTGAAGGAGCTGAAAAGGAAAGGAAAGGAAACATGGGGCTGAGGGAGATTTGGTAGCTTTATTTAGGCTTTGGGTTTGGTAAGAAGACAACGTCTGCGTCAAGGTATGTGGATTGTGGTGGCAAGCAGCCAAGTTGGTGCCGAAAGATAGTTTATTTCTTTGCATCTAACAGGTAGTAACAGCCCCTCATATTTAACTTTATTTTCTTGGCTTCTTGTTTAATAAACTAGCTCACTGTATAAAATAAAAATTCCAATATGTGACTAATGTTTTGTTTGACAGAAAATATTTGGAGTTTCTTATTTAGCATTATAGGTGAAGCCCACTACTCTCTTTTTTTTTCCCCCCGACAACGATAACATCTGTATAATCGTTGCCAATATTTGTATAACATAATCTATTCTTTTGCTGTGTAAGGGACGGGGAGCCTAAAGATGCAGGTAAACACATATGCAATAACACCTCTTCTAGATTTTTTACACTGCAGGTGGGGTTCGAACCCCCAACTTATAATTTAAAGAGAGGTTTAGTCCTTTTTTTTTTATGACCAATGAACCAAAGCTTAGTGAAGTCCACCACTCTAAACATCAAAAAGTTACGTCAACACATCTGAATAGAGAGTGATAAGCCGCCCCTTAGGTATTTTTCTCCGTCTTCATCATCATTTATGAGTCATGTCCATGTGGGGATAGCGATTTCGCAGAATTGGGGAATCCCATTTCCTTTATTTCATAGGTGACTCTTGGTCCAATTAGAGAAATCAATGGCCCTACAAGTATGTATCTTTCAACTGCCTTCAAAAAGGTAATGCTAAAATCCTATTGAAAGCTCCCCACTATTGAGGTTCGCCTAATCCCTCTCCTTGTTTGTCTCCATTTCGCCTTTTTTTCTTAAACATTTTATGCATAATGGAAAGCAAATCCTTTGAATGTGCAAGGTTTAACCATGTCCATTGGAAGATATTCACTTTTGATGAGTGCAACATGTTACCGTATTGACTTGCTTAGTGCCTAAATAATTAACGATTTGAATTTTATGAAAGAAATGAGAAAATGTATAATAGTAATTAATCTTGTAAAAACCGTTTGCCCGTTCTAATAAAACTAATGATAATTATTAGTCTAGTATTTTTTTTTTTACGTACTTCTTACTTCTAAGAAGTTCTTGAAACTTTTCAGGGAACAAGTGATGCATATCTTCTCTTCCAATAATAATGCCCCATAAGAACTAGGAAGGATTTTACTATGCTTTGTGTTTGATATTTTGTCTAGATGATAAAGTGATAGTCTATAATTTCTCCATGATGTGACAAAGCAAGAAATCTACTATCTCAAGTATCTTGTCTCTTTTACAAATTTTCAACTAATCAGTTCATAAATTTCTCGAGTGTAGTGATTGAATTACCTATATGATCATGCAGATTCCAACGTTGCACCGAAACCTTTAGAATTTCATGTAATCTCTCTATTTAGCATTTGATTAGTGTACATAATGATGACAACTTTGGTGGCAGCTATGGGCGGAAAAGAGCAGATCTTAGCTTTGGTAAAAGCGGTCAAGTCACTTTACAAGAAAAGGTTCTTTCAACTCCAAAATTAACTTTTACACGTCTTCGTAAATCACTGTTCAATGCATAATAAACTAATACAATAATCTGTTTCATTTGGAACTTCTTCTTCATGAAAATTTTTTATCTCAATGTTCTTGTCATATGACTAAGTCCATAATTTGTCATGAACGAAAAGATTTTGTTGACGTTACTTATTACTTGCTCGTGTGTGTATGTTTGTCTAAATATTAAATGTAGATACGGGTATGCATATACTTAATTCCATTCGTATAAATAGTTTCTTTACAACCTTTTTTTGGTGAATTAGGAGTGCAGACGATCCGAGTCGAGTCGAGTTTTGATCTAATTGAGCCGAGCCTCCAGTTAATTTTATGAAACTCGAGCTCGACAAGTTCAAAATGTCAAGTTCAAGGTTAAAAAAAACTATAACTATTTTATTTTTAAAAATAAATAAATAATAATTTTTTCTTAATAAATAATAAACTATTAAAAATATATATAATTTTACTATTAAAATAAAAAATATATATAATCGAACTCGCGAGCTGATAAAAAATATATATATATATATATATATAACTGACCTCGCGAGCAGCTCGCAAGTCAACGAGTTTAATGTTTTTAAACCCGAATTTAAGTTCGATATTGATTAAGCTCATATACGAGCGGCTCGATTCGTTTGCAACCTACGATGAATCAAAATCCACCCGTCTCTTGGGATTAAAATGGACTGTTACTAGAGAATGATGCATAGTTGCTCCCACTCAACATGCTACATTTTTTTTTTGTTTTTTTGCATCGTGAAAAACAACATGTGGCCCGTTTCATCACTCAACATGCTACATGTGCCTAGTCCTTGCATTTTTTTTTTTTTGGGTTGTAGGAGCTTTACCCATTGGTGATATAATTGTGCTATAACAATAATGTATGCATACATGATGATCCTATAGGACAGAATTTTCTATTTTTATCCAAT